CTGTGAGGGTCACACATGCTGACAGACCTCAGGCTGAGTTGGATTCAGCTCATAATGACCAGGCTGGCAGGTGTCACAGTGCTGACCCCAGATCTGGTCTTTGCAGTAACACTGACCAGAGAGGCCATAGGACATCATACAAATCTTCTCCAACAGGGTCACAGTCACACCCCTGGATCAGTCATTAGAGGTTGAGAATGGAACTAGGTCAAATGTCATCATGGAGTTGAAGATCAGTGTCAGAGCTGGTATTGGGGGAATGCAGTGGGTACAAGGATTTTCCTGGGAACAGCAGGGGAGGAGGGGCAGCAGTGTTCACAGTAGTGCCCAGCTGACATGCATTATACACCCATCCATTCACATTGCCAGATGTGACACAGCCACATCAGAATGACAACTCTGCCCATGGGACTCAGAATCAGAAAGACAGCCCTCACAATAGGTTGCAAGCCCTGTAACTGAGGATTCCTTCTCCAGACCTCACGCTGCTGAGCTGAGACCTGCGCATCTCACCACTTCCTAGAGATATCATTCTGACATTTATAGCTTTTTTTGTTTTTAAAAAACAAGGTAGCCGGGTGTGGTGGCGCACACCTGTAATCCCAGCACTCAGGAGGCTGAAGCAGGAGGATTGCTCTGAGTTTGAGGCCAGCCTGGGCCACAATAGTGAGTTCCAGGTCAGTCTCAACTACATAGCGAGACCCTGTCTCAAAAAAATAAAAATAAAAAACAAAGTCTCCCTATGTAGTTCAGGCTAGCCTTGAACTCACTGTGATCCTCCAGCCTCAACCTAAGTTGAGGGCAAAGGAGAGGAGCAGCATCACAGGAGGGCATCACAGGCATGTGCCATTACACCTGGCCATCTTCAGGTAACAAGTCTGCTCCCCCAGTGCAGTAAAGTATTCATCATCAACCTATCATCCAAACTAGAAATCTGCTTAAAATCCAGCCAAATCATGTTATTATTATCAAAGTCTTTCTTGTTTTCCTGTCTGACCCCTCATCAAACACTGCCCAGATGAATAACAGGTGAGGCTCAATGGGTCCTTGGTAAATGGACACAATGGATTAAGGAGTGGGGGGCCAGGGATTTAGCTCAGCAGTTCCACCACCTGCCTCGCAAGTGCAAGGACCAGTGCTCAATCCCCAAGTACCCACCCCCCAAAAAAAGTTTACCTTTGGGTTGGGGATTTAGCTCAGTGGTTCCACCGCCTGCCTCGCAAGCACAAGGACCCAAGTTTGATCCCTGGTACTCACCCCAAGGAAAAAAAACAAAAAAACAAAAACGCATAGGCTCATGTTTCCTGTCTGCTTCCCAGTTTAAATTAGTTACCAAGCTGAGATTGCCTTCCATATCATTCTTCCTTCCTAATCAGAGGCAAAAACAGCAGCTTGCAGACCTATTGTAAGGTCTAGATTGAACAGTAATAACTGTACAGTGGGCAGGGAATACCCAGTGCATGTTGAAAGACTAGGTTTACTTTTGTTTTATTCTGGTACCCTCTTGGATTGGCTCTCCTGATTATGACCACATAGTCATATAGCTCTCTGGTCCTTTAACAAGACTTGAGGGAGGGGTCACATCCAGAGATATCTTGGTACCACAGAGGCAACTACAGGGAAAAGGGTACCAGCTCAAGTTGAGGGGAAAAATGATGAGCAGGTGACAGAAGCAGAGACAAAGTCAGGCCTGGTGGCATACACCTGGAGGATTATCACGAGTTCAAGCCCAGCCTGGACTACACAGTGAGTTAAAGATCAGCCTGAACATAGAAAGACCCTGTCTCAAAAAAAAAAAAAAAAAAAAAAAAAAAAAAAAAAAAAGCTAAGATATAGGCACTCAAGGGACAAATTATAAGGGGCAACGATAGCAGCAGAGACGGGGACAGAGGCGAGGGCCATAATAGGAGACCCTGTGATAGGGGCAGGACTGAAAACCTACAAGGGGGTCCTACACAGGGTCTGTGATAGGACAGAAATAGGGGACAGATGGAGAAAGGTCCCCATGATACAGGTACAGGGAAGGATGGGACAGGGATGGGAGGTTACCACAGGGACCACAATAAAGACCATGAATGGTGCAGAGGTAGAGAATCACCCAGGAAATCGAACTGGCCAGCTAGCTACATGCCCTCAGGCAGGACCTCACATCATATCCCCCCAGAGGGTTTCTGGCTCTGTCCTGACACTCCAATAGTACAGGATTGGCTGTGGGGATGGGTACTCTGAATCTCATTGTTATTTGGATTTGAGTTCTCCACAAGAATGGCTGAGTCCAGAAGTTTGAAAAATAAACTGAGGAAGCAGGCTTCAGCTTCTGGTTTTATACTAGGGCCTCTCTCTACCCCTTCTCTAGGCCTGACTTAACCCTTGACGCCTGAGTAATAACGGTCCCAGGAAAGAGGTGCAAGCAATTGTGAGAAAAGTATTATATGTGCATCAGCAGTGGCCACGGTTCACTGCACATTCAAGGAGCAGAGCTGCTGAGTGGAATGTCTGGGGACAGGGCAGGAGGAGCTTGGGTTACCAAGTGAGACAAGCAACAGGTCAGACACAGGGTTAAAAAAAAAAAAAGCTTGGGGCTGGGGATTTAGCTCAGTGGTTTCATCGCCTGCCTTGCAAGTGCAAGTCCCCAAGTTTGATCCCCAGTACCCCCCAAAAAATTAAATAATAAAATAAAAAAAAAGCTTGCTGAGCAATCTTTTAGGCTGAAACTGAGTCACCTTGTCATGATGAGGTAGGCAAATCTGAAGGTTCCCAGTACGTCCAGCTGGACAGTGACCGTCTCAAAATCTACAAGCCAGATATGGTGGCACATAACTGTAGTCCTAGCTCTCGGGAGGCTGGAGCAGGAGAAATGCCTTGAATTCAAGTTTAGCATGAACTACACAGTGATAGTAAGACCCTGTCTAATAAAAATAAACCCAACTTTCATAAAAGGACATGCTCGCACCTTCAACTGCTTATGCCTATTACCAGGTCTTCTTGCTGCCACAGACACTGGGCAATCATATTCTAAATGTTATGGCCTCCCTAATTCTGAGTCACAGAACAGAGACCCGGGCAGGTACATGGTCAGTTTCCCCAAAACTCCTCAGCACAGGCTGCTCAACCCAGGTCCCAGCAATGACCCAAACCTCCATAAGAATTTACCTGTCCAGGATATCCAAGACAGCAGTCTCCAGAGCCCTTACTCTATTCTTTTTTTTTTTTTTTTTTT